GAACAATTACATTTTTGATTTTTTGCAGTAAATTGAAAATTGTAAGAGCTAACATAAGCAGAATCAAGCCAAATGTCATACGTTTCCTCAACTGATTATCAATATACAAATCGATTTTGGTCACAATCAGAGCATAACAGACAAATTTGTGGTCCCCTGTTTCAGAATAGGCCAGACTGAACTGATTATTCCATAACTTGCAATAACATTGTGCTTAAAAGACAAGATTTTTTAAATAATTATTGATCTTGAGACTTTGATGGTTGTTTTGAGACCAAGTTTGAGATGATGCAAAAACATTTTCATTTTCAAACTCTGATGATTTACAGAAAAACAATAGAGTTTTTAACAGACTTGTATATGCAAAATTGCTTGGCTTGGTGGAGTACATAAAATTCGGAAACTTCCTTTGCCACAAGATAGATATTGCAAAGACTACGACCATAAGTATGTTTGAAGTCATAATTTGCATTTAAAGCTGATGCTTCCTCTGCTGGGCAGAAAAGATATTACCGTTACTGATTATGTGGCCAACCTCGGTTTAAGTCAAATATTCACATTTTCTGTGCAATTTTGGAACATACATATAATTGCAATGTTTTAGATGTTAATGAGATGTGTAATTTGAAACCATTATCTTTTCTTTATTTCAATCATAGAAGAAAATAATGACATTTTAATAATTATGCCCTAGATTAAGTATTACATACATACATCATCTAAACCGCTTATCCTTCTGGGTCGCGGTGGGGTGCTGGAGCCAATCCCAGCTGTCATTGGGCGGAAGGCAGGATACACCCTGGACAGGTCGCCAGTCCATCGCAGGGCAGTAGATTAAGTATTGTAGGGGACAATTTAAATGAAACTTTGCATGTTTCCTCAGAAAATAATGTACATGTTTACCAAGATTTGTCACAATCACATAAAAACTAAAGAATCTATATATATCGAAGTCAGAAAAGGCTAGGCTGAACAGATACATTGGTGTCTCATTGCCGGTCTTGCAATAAAGTCAAGGTTTTTTTGATAATTATTTACCTACAGACTCCACAGATTGTTTAAGACCAACATTGAAACAATTGTCTTAAAATCCACAGACTAGTTTGAAAAGCTCAGTTTTCAAACATTGATCAATCAAGGAAAAACTTTACAGAATTTTAAAAGACTTGTATTTGATAATGTCATTATCAGTGTAAGCAATGATATGAATTGATTTATTTTGATCTGTGATAAAATTTGTAGGACTTATTCTTGTTTATGCTCTATAGCGCCACCTCATGGCCAATTGAGGTCAAACTTTATAGGCTATTAGAGATTGCCTATGTGGACACATGAGAGAATTTTTGTAATGATTGGCCAATGCTAAGCCCTCCAAATGCCTGTTGAAAGCTTATTGGCCATTGGCAGCCATATTTGTAGAATGATTGAGTTGTCCGTAATAGATCACATATATATTAGGCAATGGATATAGCATGCAAAGTTTCAGCTCAATTGGCCAAGCGGTTGCTGAGAAACAGATTTTTGGTATCGCCCCCTATTGAGTAATTGGTATCAAACTTGGTGGGCTTCCACAGAATCATACTGATACCTTTGATGAGAATTGGCCAAAGCAATCTCGATCTGTAGCCATTTATGTGAATTAAGCCAAACCCAGAGGATCTTAATTGGCGCGTGGCAGCTATATTGTTTAAAAATATTTAATTTTTTTTGATAATTCTTGACCTCCAGACTTCCCTGAACATGTTGATATCTTGAAAAACCTCAGACTAGTAGAAAAATGTAGATGTCACATATTTTGCCAATTATGATGGAAAATATGGGGGCGAAGCAAAATACATGCAGTGGAGCGTTTATGTAGAATAAAGCAAGCATTATGTAAAAGCAAGAATTTCGATTGTAGGCCCCGCGGTTCAGGAGATATGAGCCAAAACGTAAAATGTTCTATAGCGCCACCATCAGGCCAACTGGGGTCGTTTCAGTTTCCTGAGTAGTGGGGGGGATTCTATATCTACCCTCCAAGTTTGGTCTTTGGATGACTACGGTGTCTTCTCCACAATCCACAATAGGAAATAAATAATAAATATAGCTGTATAGCTGCAAGCGACAATGAGTGGGTCCAAGCATGCATAAGCACAAGAAGCTCTCGTGCACTTTGAGCCAAATAGGCCTAATAAGGCCTAATGCAGTTTGGGCCTTCTAGGCAGAGAGGCTGAAAAGAAGTCTGAGTTAATCAACAGGCCTTCGATTGTCATGAACAATGAGCAGGGGGCTTTAAACCTAACGTATGTTTACATTTCACTTTACTGATCTACAAAGGTTTGTAGAACATGCGAAAGATTATCAACATGATGTCAAAAATACATGAGTAATGGTAAAATTTCTGTCTTAGTAGTGTCTTAGTAGTGTTTTCAAAGTATTTTGTTTCTCTATTTTAAAGGCTTTGATAAGCATGGCATAAAGAGACCCAATGCACTCATAAGGGCCCTTTTAGCATAAAGGACCTCAGTGAAAGAGGGTCAGAATTGGCCCAACGGTCTCCACATGTTATGAAAATTGATCAGGGACCTTTATCAAAGATGAGTGAGTTTTGTTCAGATTGACCTTTTGACCTTGGGATAATAAGCTGTAGTCTTTAAATGAATAATTCAAAATACTAGAGAAGGAGCGCAATTTATGACATAACATGTAATTACAAAGTTATTCAGATGATTGAACTGAATCAAAGGGCACCTCTTATTTATCTGTAGACTTTGTAGTATCGTTGTAATAACATTTTTAAAGATTTTAGGTATTTTTGAGTGCTAAATCGCCCCCTATGGGCCAATCAGGATCAAATTTCGCAAGCCACATCAGAGTCTCAATTCATAGACACTTTTTAAGGTGATTTGGACCAATGACTGATGAGCTATATCAATTTAAGCTAGCAATGCCATGACCACAATGATTCAGTGATGGAGGGAGACCACAATGAGCAAAAAAATGAAAATGTGCTGGATAATTATTTACCTAGAGAGATTTCTAGACCAGGATTGAGAAGTTAGCTTCAAATTCCACAGACTAGTTCGAAAAGTGCTATTTTCAAACAATTAACGATTGAAAAAAACTATGCACCTTTTTAGTACACTTATAATGACAAAATTGTTTGGAACACTGCACTGCATGAGGTCATCTAAGTTGTTTGACCAGAAATCAAAATCTGTACAAGATATGCTTGATTTTCATTAATAGCGCCCCGCAGTGGCCATATATTTTGAAACTTCACAGGTTGTTAGAAGGTGGTGAGATAGAGACAGGTGTCAAGTATCATGATGATTGGCCAATGGTAAGCCTCTCAAAGGGCTGCTGAAAGCTTATTGGCTGATGGCGGCCATAAATTTCAATATATCCACGTGTCCTTAAAGATTCACTTACAGTGTTTGTAATAGATGCTATTTGCAAAGTTTCAACTTAATCGGATGTACGGATGCTGAGAAAAAGCTATGTAGCATTGACAGCACCCCTTAATGACCTGTGCACACAAAAATTGATAAGCTTCCTCAGAGTCTCCTTAGGAATAAGCCTGTCAAGTTGCTGAGTTACAGCTTTTTAATTAAATAAGAATTGATTGTTCCAGAAGGATTAATTAGCATATGGCAGCCATATTGTTTAAAAAATTTAAAATATGTTCAGTAATTATTGAGGTTCTGGCTATGCTGAATTTTTTGACACCAGAAACATGAAGATAGGATGAAAACTGTACCCTAAAAAGAAGAAGAAGAAGAAAAATCCTAGCAAAAGCAATAGGGTTCCATGCACCTAAAGGTGCTTGGACCCCTAATAACAGCACATGAATAACAGAAACACTGGCAATGATGGCAATACAGTGACACCAATGATAACAATAACTATCACAATGTGCTTAACAGGACGTTTATGGAATATGGAATTAATAAGATAGATAAATTACATTAATGAGTGTGTGGGAATGTTCATGTGGATGTTTATGTGTGTCACAATGAGGGTGTGTGTGTTTGTGTGTATGCATGCGTGCATTCTCGTGGGCATGTGCAAAGAATGAGAGAATTGCTGAACTAGATCTCCTTGTCTGTGGCACAGCTGTAAGGGTCTTCCCTCTACTCCCTGAGCATGCACCAACATGGACTCATCCCCCTTGAGTGTGTACATGCAGTTTGGCGGTCCCGGATGACCCAGCTTAAAGATTCTGTTTTAAGATTATTAATAAAAACCTGAATAATCTACTGACTCATAAATATCTATATAACACCTTTAAATTCTTATTTGTCATCAGCATGTACGTTGAATGATGTGACTGCTTAAAAGTATATGCAGATCCTTCAATAAAGTTAGTCAGTTATTATAGCACTTGAAATTTATTATTCAAAAACAACTTTCATATTTGATTTTAAACTGTTATTCTAATTGTAGTATGATACATAGAAGTTTGTTTGCTAGTGTGTCTGTCAGCCACTTAGCAAGTATAGGAAGTAAGTACTTTGTCATCATTACACACTAAATATCAATGTCTAAAGTATCCAGACACTTAATTAGCAAATTAAGCTACTTTAAAGAGACCAAGTAAACAAATCTGTATTTCCTTGACAGTTCAGGAAACTTTAGTTGTCACTGTATAGTCTCACAGTGCTATGGTCCAGTGGAGCCATTTTTGAGTTATATACAGCAATACAATGACGACATTGACCCCGACCCTAACCCTGATGGGGGTGTGACTGAGTGGAACAGCCCTGATGGAGTGGACCAATGAGAGTCTTCTCTTTGAATATAGAATCAAACCCCAGAAAATGATCCTGAAGCAATTAATTTTGCGCACACAGCTGTGTAATCTCCATAGAAGAGCATTACCAATAGAATGCCGTTTGGCATTGAGCTTACTAACTAGCAAATACAAAGTTCATGCAAAGATTGTAATTGTAATGTTTGGAATAAGCTAAATTGTTGGAGCACATCTGTTTTCTTTTTGTTTGTTTTCTTTTGTCAAAAAGGTGCGAAACCTGCGCTCTGGAGTGTCACGCATGGCAGTAGTGACTTTGGGAGAGTTGTACTCTTGTCTGCAGAAGGGAATGGACCAGGAGTTGGAAGCTACAACCAAGGCACTCTTACACAAAGCAGGAGAATCCAATGCCTTTATCAGGCAGGATGTGGATGCAGCACTGGACAGCATGGTGCAGAACTGCACACCTACCCGTGGCATGAGTGCCCTTCTCACTGGAGGACTTGGGTCAGTTAGCTTCCAGCTAGAGGCAGCAGTCACAGGAAGTCATATAATAACTTGTTTAAAAATATTTTTGGCTCAAAGTCTTTTCTGCATTTATCCTCTGACACAGTAGTGTGAGAGATGGTCATGTATATGGGCAGTGCATCATAAAGTACTTGTTATATAGTAGGTTAACATTGTAAAACTGCATTAAACACTGCATCCACGTATAAGGACAGCTTTGTCGAAAAAACAGAGAAAAATTATTAAATAGCACAGGATACTTTTTTCGACCATAGCTATATACAGTTGTATGCAAAGGTTTGGGCACCCTTGGTCAAATTACTTGTTCTGGTCATTTTCTATGTGAAAGTAAGTACACAGATTTTTGCACAGTCACTGTATAGTTGGTTAATTTAACATATTTAAAAAAATAATACATAAATTATGGCCTGTGCAAAGGTTATGGCACATTTTATATTTTGTTTTTTTTCCCCAATATATTAAACTCTGTATTAAAGCTAATAAATATAAATTGTGTAATGCCATTTTTCCATTTAGGTTTTTTCCCTGTACAAGATTTGATAACATATTTTTGCTTAGAAAATCAACAAAGTATGTCATTTACTTAGGACTGTATAGTGTTTTTTACAGAATTAGAAAGTACTGTATCATTTGAATGGATGAGTTCTCCATTTAATTATGAATGCCATAAATAAAGTCTGTTACTTTTTCTGTTTTCTTCATCAAAAGTCACTTGAATCCAGTAGTAAGAAAGTGCACTTCTCAGCACTTGGCTACTCTGGTAGAAAAGATTGGTGCTGGGCGCTTACTGTCTGGGACCAAAGATCTCACAGACCGAATCTTGCCTGCTATAGCCAAACTGGCACAGGACTCTTCCCAAGAGACCAGGTTTGCACTACCCTTATTACTTCAATTTCAGATCACAAAAAAATGTTACAGTTTAAATTACCCAGCTAATACTGAATCACTGTTAAGTTTTCTCAACACAGTCTCAGTTGAACTAAACTTTTGTGTTTTCATTATTTCTCTTAGATACTTTGGTCGGCAGATGCTGCTGTTATTGTTGTCTCATCATGACTTTGATAAAATGGTGGCAAAGTACATCCCTGACAAAGACCTGGCAGCCATCAGGGACACTGTCCTCACACTGAAAACCAAGGTGACAGTACAGCACATCTATTTGAATGCATGATAATGCCAAGTATTTTTTGTTAGGATCAGAGTTCTCATTTACTGACTTGTTCTGTGTGTGTAATGAAGTTTGCATTATTATTTTGAGAATCATCACAACAGTCAGAGACTGATGTTTATGTGATTTCAGGGTCTGGGTGAGATGCCTCATGATACTCCTTCAGCTCGAGGCAGACACTCCATCCCTAGTGTTGGACTGGTGCGCGTCTCCTCTCACGCTCGTGAACCTCAACTTACCCTCAGGTCTTTGTGATTTTGGTCTTTTAATTTTAAATGCATTATATAAATTGTCTGCTCAGGCTCTGTAAAAGAGCTTTTACTGTTGTGTATTTCAGTAAAGACGGTGGAAAAGCACAGACCCACAGCATTGCAGACAAGACAGAGTACATCAAGCAGCTTGCAGTCCTGCTGAGTTCAAAAGACTTCAGGGAACGCATCAAGGGCATTGATCAGTTGGTCACTGACTGTGAGGATAACCCCTATATGATCCTGGGCAACATGTTCCCGGTAACTCATTTGATTTTTAGTGCATTTAGCAGCTTTCAGACCTACGATGTCAATGTAAATGTCAACACATTAGAAGAAATATCAAAATTCAGGCACTTAGAATTCGTTCACCCAAGGACTTTGCAGACATCTTTTTTTGGGTTATTTTTGCAGACACGGGTATTTTTTAAATTCAATATTTAAATTCAAGTGAGGGCTTGACCATGGTCCAGGGAACAGAACCGAATTGAAGTTTTTCATATGCACACCGTGACAGAGGGTTATTTATTGATAGAGGTATATAAACACAAAGCAATAGATTACAAAGGTATATAGGCACTAAATATTGGATTACTAGTTGTGGAAAGAAACCAGAGATATTGAATATACTGAACAAAAGTACTAAGATTAGCTGATTTTCCAAATTTTGTGGCTTTTGAGCAGCCAGCAGAACAACCCTAACACTAGTGTAAAGCTGGCCTTAAGTGTCAATAAAGAAAAGCAAAATCACAGTGAGACTGAGACCACAAAAGGGCAGTGCAAGTGAATCTACGACCTGGATGCCTCAGAGCTGCGGTGATGCGCGTGTCGCGTTGAGGGGAAGAGAGGCCGCTGCTGGCATGGGCTGGAGCAGGGTCCGCAGGTCAAAGGTCAAAGCTGCTGGATGCCTCAGAGCCGGGTTGATGCGCGTGCCATGTTGAGAAAGAGGAGCCCGCTGCTCACACAGGCTAGGACGGGTCTGCAGGTTGATGATTTGGACTGGGCCCCACTGGCAAGCAGGCTTCTTGCAATGCTTGGCGGCCTCTCTGGTGAGGAACACAGATCTTCTTCTTGGCGATGGAGACAGGCAGTGGTCGGAGCAGGCTCTTGATGTGGATTTCAGTCAGCACTGTTTTACCTCTGTTTCCGTTCTAAAACTAGGTTCTGAGCGGCCTATCATTGGCAATTAGACTTTCAAAATGGATTAACGAAACTTGAAAAACAAACGCAGCTAGATGCAGCTCTTCAATAGTCTTAACCTTACAATTACATCACTTCAAGATTACTGAGTAAATGAAACAAAACGGATTAAGACACAAGACAAACAACTAACGTTTAAGATCTGCAGAACGAGGAGAGCGGGCTTCTTTGCTTGGAGTTTCATTAAGGTTACATGTTGGCTGTCTCGCTCCCTTCAGGGCCAACTTTCCCTGTCTTTCTGTTTCTTCTTCTTGTTCTCCTGACTGTTACTCTTTCTTGCCGGCTTTAAAGAAAGAACTTTGAGGGGCAGAGCTAAGGCGGGGAAAAGGTTTTGGTTGCTTTGTTACATATAATGAATATGTAATTTCTTTGAATGCTGCTCAAGTGTCACATAATCCTTTGGAGATTCTGGGTGTGGTTACACTTAAGTAAAAGAAACTTAGAAGCATGCAATTTCACAAACATAAAACATTATTGTTTCCATAGTGACTATTACAAATGGCTATGGAGCTTACAGATTATTATACCTAAACGTATACCATAATATGGTTACATACAATTAGTTGAATCCTTAACCATTCTAGTCATATAAGAAGTAGGAACTACATAGACAAAAGAATTAAATTGTTAAGACAATTTCAAGGTTATACGTCACACTACTATTTCTAAACAATGCTTACACGAACGGTTACATAATAATTCAGAGTAAAATAATTGAGTACGTAATCATCAATAATTCTGTAGATATGTTGGCAGAAACTCTATGATTATACATAGTCACACAAGCTACACACTTTAGAATCCTACTTCTAATAACACTACAAGAAGACTTGCAAGAAAAGCAGATATATAAGATTAACGGTGGTCCTGAAACATATGGGTTGTTTCTCAAACAAAAGAAAAATTATATAATGGGTGAAATTAACAGTTGTGAATGATCAAAGAACAATACAATAACCTAGATCAGTGAAGAAGGGTTACAATTCAAGAATCAAAATAACTACTAGAATATAAAAGAGTATAGTGTAGAAAGTTTGGTATTAATTCCCTTCGACAGGGATTAATCAATTCACGTCTGACAAGGCAACGTGTTAACAGTAACAGAGGTGTTCTTCACAGTTTGATAAAGGAAAGGCATTTGATTGATACTTGATTAAAGATCACATTGTGAATAATTTGCCAGAAAGCAGGGCTCCCAAGAGCCTAGCCTCTGCACAGACCCCAAATTTATGATACTGAAGGAATGCACTTAAGAGTATCTGGCCACACCAAAGGGTCTGCTCAGGGATTCGTGAGGTCTCAACAGTCCCCTCACCCAGAGTTAATTGGTGGGCCATCTTTGGCCTTTGTTTTAGGTTAGATGTCTCTCTTTGTGGGGGAAGGTGAGATGTATGGGTGTGAGAGAGAGGGAAAGGAATTTTCAAAAGTCACAATTTATCAGTATCCCAAAATTTACTTCAATGATGTCCAAAGGTCTCTTCAGGATTTTTATAAAGGGGTGGCATGACGTTCCATTACGTTGCCTTTAAACTGTTAGTCAAAAGAAAAAGAAAGTCTTCAGACCTCTGGGTCAAAGTAGGTCTGTTCTGAGGTGAGCCACCCCCCTCCCCACTTCTGCACCAGGTTGCCAAAGGGGGGGCCAATGGGGGTTGCGAGACGTGTCTTTAGCAGTCAGCCATAAATTTACTATTTGTCCTTCTAAACATGCTGCCGCATGCAGATGCAGATCTCACTTTGCTCAAAACGTTCTGATAAGTTTATGAATTAAAAACAGCAAAGCATGCTACACTCAGAACCAAGAACATAGAGACTACAGTGTCAGTATCAAAAAAAAAAAAATATATATATATATATATATATATATATATCACAGTAAAGTCTCAAGGAAAAGGATTTTAATATTTTACAATGATAAATAGATGGATGGATGGATGGATAGGTATGTAGGTAGGTAGTTATGATATACATGTGTATATATACTCATGTGGAATGATGGAAGGAAACTAATCAGAATTACTTTATTTTGGCAAGCATTTTGTACATACAAAGAATTTGTCTTGGTGAGTGCACATATGTATGATGTAATAATCATAAAATATGCATCAGTCAAATATTCAGGAAAGATGAAGAAAAGTAGTTTCTAAAAGTGCTCTCTAACTTATTTTGGTGGAACATCCAACAGTGCTACATGACTCTGCATTAATCAGAACTCAGCATCTAATGTGCTTTGGAACCATTAACATGGTGAAAAAACATTCTTTTAAAAGTTCATCAAGTTTTACAGTAGAAAAGTGTCCATTTTCACATGTTGTCCAAAGCAGTGTTGTAGTGTACAAAACATTCTGCTTTCATGTAAAATATCAGGGATAAGTGTGAGTAGCTAATGCAAGAAGGCACAGAGATTTCTGAATCATGTAATCAGGTATGAAAGCATATGTGTCAAAATTAAAATTAAAATGTAAAATGGTAATGTATTTGTATATTTGCCTTTAAATTTCGCACACATTTGTGCAATGTTGAGCTCAATTTCAGTACTGTGATTTTATTTGCCATTTTGTATGTTAGTATTGACATTTAATTTACACAATGATTTAGATGCTTTATGCAATTTTATATGCATTTTTACTCACTAGTAATGCATTTAAATTGCTTTAACAAAGAGAACCCCAAGCTAGTAAGATGGCAAAATTCAAATGTAAATGGGAAACAGCACCCGTCCTGTTTGCATTAACATTGTTTTTGCTAGCCAACCATAGGCAATAGATGCAGGAGATAGAGATTAATCAAGGTTTGTGGGCAATTTTCTAACTTACAAAGTGAACATCAGAGATGTTGCTGTGTTCCACTTTATCTGTTACAAAAAATGTACTCATAAAATTTGCTGTAATTGTAACAGTACACTTAGACGTGTAAATCACATAACCGCCTTGTCATAGTGGTATCAGCCACTGTACCATGTTGGTACCCTGTCATATTCTAACTGAATTCAGCTAGGGGGTCTCTAATGTCCTGCTTTGCTTTTTAAAAATTAATATTTTAAAAATCACTAGTATATGTGTGTGACATAGTGAGCACAATGTAGCGTTAGCTATCTAGCTTAATTCTGCAGTCCTCAAATTCATGCAGTACATTGGCAGCTGAGCTGATGGCAGAGCAATATATCCACATCTGATGCTCATGTTGTAAAAGATATCCCTGCATTGCATCAACTGGAATCTCTGTGTCCAGCTTCACTTTCACCCACTGTTCTCAGTTTATAAAGGCTGAAGTTAGCTTTTTTTCCTGTTCCACCTTAAACGTTGCTGCTGCAACATTCAGACGCTCTGTAAGGTGGACTGGAAAATTTGAAAAACATGCTGGTGAAAAGGAAGCCTCATTCTTATCAACCAGATTGATAAACCACAGAACTTGGCCACACGTTCAACTAAACACTTTCTCATGGGGTCATGTATATAGACATTAAGCATCACAAGTGGCTATATTTTTCTTCTTCGCCTCATCTGCTAGCATAAGAGTAGCCATAAACTCTAAGGCTGCCATGTTTTTAGATGAAGTCTTTTCTGCTGAGCATACTGTTGGCCCTGACCTGATAGGATGATTGAAAATGAGTTTGACTAGACTATCACTTTCATGGTATTCCCAACCTGTCAAAGACTTTTACACAAATTGAGTGCAGTAGGTGAGAATATGTAACTGCAAAGAGGAGAAGCACTGTGTCCCACATGCATTGAATTTGCCATTTTCTAGCTTGATGTTCTCTTTGATAATGCAATTTAAATGCATTATTAGGGAGTGAAATGCATTTAAGATAAATAAGATAAATTATATTTTAATCATCATTTTGACACAATTATTGCATTAGCATTTTAGACATATGCAGGTCTGGAAATACATTTTAATTTAAATAAAGCTACTCATAAAGCTTCTAAAATCTCTTTGTAAATGAAATGTCAATAATGGTATACTAAATGGCAAATTAAAATCAGTACTTATATGAATTTTGAGCTTAACTTTACATGTATGAGTGGAAAATCTAAATATGCAGACATAAAAATACATTGTTATTTTACATATATTACAATTTCATTTTAATTTAGATACTGATAAGCTTCCATAGCCAGGCAGCTACAATAAATAACAAACCATTTAAGCAATATAAGCAGCTGTTGGTCAGACAACTCAAGAAATTACTCAAAAAGAACTTGGTTAACTTACTTGGACACATCTTGCTCACTCTAGGTCTCTCTTCCTTTGCAACAGATATTTGATGCCCTTAAATCACGACTGCAGGAGTCAAATAACAAGGTTAACCTGTATGCCTTGGAGGCCTTACAGAAGATAATCCCATTGCTCAGAGACAACTTGGCCCAAGTGGTTTACATCCTTGTGCCAGCTATAGTGGACAATCACCTCAACTCCAAGAATGATGCAGTTTACATGGCTGCAACAGGTGCCATTCAAGCTCTCATCAGTAACATCGGTGAGTTCCTTTGTCTCTTTAAAATATGTCACTTGTTGCTGAGGTCAAATAAATGATTTTCCTTTGTATTATGTTTTTGTACTATTATTTATTGATGCAATTTGAAAATGCCTGCTGTGTGTGTGTGTGTGTGTGTGTGTGTATGTATGTATATGTGTGTGTATATATATATATATATATATATATATATATATATATATATATATATCATTTGATTGCAGCACTAACATCAAAACAGGTGGTGCTTTGATAAATACAAATAAAGCATAATTAGCAGTACTGTCACTGTATGGCAAAAACAATTATGTTACATAATCTGTTTTTACATATTTTTGCAATGTATGAAATAACGGATGCAAGTCCAGATGGACAAGGCAAAAGAATGAAGCATAAAATAGGACAGGTATACACAAAAATTTTTGCAAAAACAAGACCAGCTCAAAAATTTACTGTCAGTCATTTTGGGCTGAAACAAATTGCCATGGTGGACATAAAAACATTTTGGAGTTCTGTGATGTTTTTAGTAAATAGACAATGCTTTGACATTTTGACAGAGACTATTGAGTGATTGTTATAAAAGAGGATCAAGTATCAAATTTGCAAAGCTTGGAAACTTTTGGCCTTGGAAATGAGCAGAAAACAGGTTGGTGAGGACAGATAGCAACAGATCGTAAGCAGTGATTGGAGGGCTAAGAAAGTAAGGAAGGTCTTGGGAATCGTCAAAAGGACTACCTTGCACGTTCAAGAATGATGCAGAGTGTCAGGACTTTGATTACCTATAATATGATGACCAAATAAAATGTCAAATTTTATTCTCTTAAATTAGCACTTTGAAAATACTTTTCCCCATTTTGACTTAGTAGATCTGTGATCAATCTGGGCTATGCTGTTTAACAAGTTGCAAAATACTTGTGAGTATAACACACTTCCTGCCTAAGTATGTTTTTAGTGTTTACCCCAATACACTAAAGGCCCTCCATCACACAGGGCCCTATGCTCAACCAGGTTGCTCTGATGGAAGATCCAGCCATTGCCAGTATCCTAATGTAGTGGTTGTTTCAGGCGATTGGATCATGTGAAATGCTTAATTGAACGGTGACATGTAAAAATTTTGTAACATTGTATGCTGAAAGGCTGCTTGATTAAGTACACCTCTTTGCATCATCAGTCAATTTCCATTTCATCAGGTCAAATTACCATATAGGTGCACTTTGTAGTTCTACAATTACAGATTGTAGTCCATCTCTTTCTCTGCATGCATCAGTGGTCAGGATCCCCACAGATTTGGTGTTATATGGGTGATGGATCATTCTCAGCATTGCACAGCGCTCGCCAAGTGGGCCGCGTTCTCTGATAAATCCGAGCTATCAGGTGACGAGAAGAACCGCCAGACCCGCCTGCTGCTCTCCTAATGGCCGCGCTGAAACGACTGACCGAAGTGCATCGCGCAAAATTGGAAACACGGCCCTGCGGGTCTGCCGTGGTGGGCTCCGTTTTCGGCTGTGCTCCTCACTGAAGCTCCACCCGGCGAGTTTTCATTCATTCAGCGTTCAGTGTGAAAGCAGCTGAAAACTGCGCTGCGTGCCCAGCTCGAGCCTTTAACACGGTATAATCACGCGAGCTCTCGCATCTGCTCGCTTTAATAAGTCAGCGCTGCTGTAGATCACGGACAGACTTTATCCTGAGTAGAACCGTATAAATGATCCTGGGTCTGTTTACCTGCTGAAGTGCTGAAGACTGTGTGTACGGCGAGCATCGAGGTCTTCACCATAAAGCAAAGCTAAAGCGGACTGGGGCTGTTTTGTTTTCACAATGCACAAATTGATCGAACCACAAAACGAACTACAAACGAACCGAACTGAGACCAGCTCGAGAGGTGGTCTCAGTTCGGTTCGTTTTTAGGGCCGTTTAGGGGGGTCTGAGTTCGTTTGGCGTGTTCACATATGCAAAAGAAACCATGACTCAGCGGTCTGAGTCTACTTCAGACGCTGAAACGGCTCCAGTGTGAAAACGCCCAGAGACATCAGTGTCACTGCAGTGCTGAGAATGATTCACTACCCAAATGATACCTGCTCTGCAGTGGTCCTTATATATGATTTCTATGAACTATAAATCTAAATCAGCTGTTATCTGTGACATCTGTTTGCACCTCATCCATATGAGCTCCATAGTAAACAGTCATTCCGTTGATTTTGGTAAATGGTTGACAGTAAGTGTGAGTTTGTGCTTCTCAATCATTTGCCCACAGTCACATTCTTCAACATTAAAGGTTTCTGCATGTGCATGATTAGGAGTAGTTCTAAATGTACACACAGTCTTGCACATCGTTTACACACAAAACTTCAGACCTGCTGCTTCTTCCTGCTTACATGTCTTCTGCTGAAGTAACCTTTTTGGCATGGGTTTAGGTCACATAACTTGTCAAAATGCCAATGTAAAAAATCTTCTGATACCCACTAAAAAGAACACACAAGTGCAGCACTATGCAGGTGATGGGGGAAAAATTATGGGAAAATGTTCATAAATTCAATTAGGTTACCAGTTCATAAGTCTTTTCCACCTTCCACAAGATATGCGTACACACAAGTAATTTGTGTACCTAGTTAACTCTTAGTCAAAACATTACCATTAGCTGACACTAAAATGCTGACCTTCAATCAGTCACAAAAAATATTGTTCATGGCAGCATAGCAATAACCTGTCTGGTCTCTAAAGAAAAATGAAAAAGTTATAGTTTTTTTTAAGTTTGCCCCATTAATACTAAATTACATCTTAAATATTTAATTTGCCTACAGATTGAACTGAAATTTTAACTATATAAATATGCTAGGAAGAGTATTTCACTTTAAGCTGTTTGGTTTAATGTTAATAAATTCCCACAACTGGTCAATTTTTTAGAGGCTGTACTTTTTATGTCATGCTATTTATGTACAAACGTTAGTCTTTGAAAATTATTCCTACATTTCTATCACACCTATGAATATTTTATTTCTGCATGCAATATTGAAGCTAAATTTAAGGCTTCCTGACCCTATACCATATTAAAAGCTTTTTTGGAATTTGAAATTTTAAATATAACAAACTACTAGCTTTGCAATTTGTTGGTTGTAAAAATAAAATTGAAAGAATCCTTTGAGATGGGACAGATAGGAATATACACAAGAAGTCTAGAGCTGTTATTGGGATAATTGTAAGGATTCTTAGTCACAAATTAACAATAGCACACAGCAAAAGAGTGACATTAACATGTAATCTCACAATAATTATGCTTCTTGATTCATTATGAAAATGTGCTTAAAACAGTTTAGAAATTTTAATCATCACTTCTACTCAGTCACTTTTAGTTCTGCTCAAGGCAATCATGAACCTGAATAATTAAAGCAGGAGACAAAATGCATGTTTCTCAGATCATCATCATCAGCTGGAGATAGTAGATCATGTAGTTAATATATAGTTAGGAATAATGACATTTTACTACATGTAGTTAAAATAAATATATATAGATTTAGCTGCTGATAGGGAGCTGAGTGACATCACATTTCAAACCTCATTGCTTAATAACTTGAGAATTAAAATAGCATAAATGTTTATTTTAGCAGCACAAAGATAGCACAAATGAAAGAGACTTTTTTGCAATGTAGACATTGATGAGGGGGCTGAGTGACACCACAGGTAATAAAATACATTTAATTTTTCAAAAACGGTACCAGCACAAATGATGATTCCTACAGCACAAACCAGCACAAACAAATAGCAGTATTTTTATTCTGTTTCTGATCACATGGGGGACCAAGCATCATGGAGGTCCTGTGATCATGGCTGTAAGGACCACCACAACACCACGGTACCATGGCACATCACAATCATATTTCTGGAAAAAAATATATAGTGCAGGGCTTGTGGTGTTTAAATGTACCATAACTCAAAATTAACTTAGAGTGGATTAACTCATCATTTTCTTTACTGCAATGAGAACAGAATATTAAAACAAAAAAGCTGCATTTTTAAGATAAAGAAATTTGATTTGTTTTCTTTGATCGTTGTCACTGTATTATGGCCAGTCAAATCATTACACTCTCCGCCAAGCTCTGCCTTTTTGTTGGCCCTCCAGTCACTGATTAGCAACTGTTGCTAGCTGCGATTGCCTCAAGCCTTCAGTTCTTTGTCGGTGCACCAGCATTTGAATTTTAAGCTCCAGCTATGTTCACACAATGTACCTGTAGGACTTATAAATGATGGATCCCATCCTTGATAGAATGTGTCATTTTCTACCCAGTGTTGATGAAAGTAAGGTGACAGCAAGTCCTAGATGTGCGCTTGAATACTGCAACTTAATATCATCTTCACACTAATTTCAGTGTGTAGCTAAAACTGTGGGCCAGTATGGGTCAATCACTAATCTTGCTACCACAACAGCCATAGGTAAAGCACCCCCTTGTCAAAGGTTTTAGCAGCTCTGTAAAAAACGTATGGCACCGCCACTGAGAATAGAGTATGTCTGTTCTCATGAAACTTGCACTTAGTGAATTTTTTTGGGAGGAGAAAGGCTAAAATGCCAGTGTATAAATATTTTTTCTCTCGAGTAGAATATTTTTTAAATTGTAAATACGAGCAAAACTGTGCTACTGCCCTATGTTCGCTCTCTGGTTCAATTTGACATGTCCTTGTTTTTGATTAGTTGACTCGTGAAAAGTTATGTGGAGCTTTTTAGCTGAAGTTGAACTTTCTCACTGTTTGCGTTAGCTAGCTGACGTTTACTTTTATGCACATCTCTTACTGTTTTCTCAGCTAGTGCTACTTGTGGATGTCTTCTACTTTAAAATGGTTTTAATGAATGATTTTAGTTGATAGTGTAGACTTACTGATATTTCTTTTTCATAACTTTACATACACATTCACACACCTTCAGATTTAGGCTTGTCAGGACATGGATGTAAGCTAAAATAGCAATGACATGATATCAAACTCACAGCCTGATGTGCATCATGCATTATCTTCATAAAATGTTTAAACTGGTGATGTTTAAAAAAAGTTATGTTAACGTATCTTGTGGGTTAGAATAGATGGATTCTTCTGCTCTGTTTATTGTGAAAACGGATGATTGTGCACTAGGATTTTGGTGTGATCTTTTGAAGTTAGAATGGAGTATGCAATGCATGTATATTTAGTGATCATAATTAGCCATTCTCTTTAGCTGGTTTGAGTTTTTAATTTTCAATGCAAAATGAGCAAAATACATTTCAGAGAAATTAAACAAGTTACCATATGTTACCAATTGTTGCTCATTTTTCAGACAACACGATTCTTCTTCAGATCTTTTGCACAAAGGCTCAGTTTCTCAGTGGGAAGGCTAAAGTGGACCTTGTTGATAAAGTTGCAGGTAAGTACAAGATATCCATGGTGCATTTAGCCTTTGACGTGATCATGGAGAGTTTGCACAGTCAACTGTTTCAAGAAACACTATTGGCAGTTTGCTGTGCCAAAAATGTCATAATGCATAGTAATCATAATACAATGCCACTGATTCTAAAATCATTCAGTCTAGTTTTAAATTTGTCAGTGAATGCCATCTCATCTGAGTGGAACATCAGTCATGTCAGTAATCATAACCAAAGACTTCAAGTAGTTTTCACTTTTTCAAATAGGGTAAAAATGTGATGGAAAATTCTTGGTTAGGTTGGTTAGCCACTGGAAAAATTTATTTACATGTAAACCCAAGTTAGAGTTTTGCCTCAGCACTACTGTCATATCTTAATCCTCTGAATCCTTTTCCTGAAATGCTCTTGAGCTCATGGCATGCTTAGTGTTGTCAGTTTGTTTTTTTCTCATTTTGTAGAACTGGTTAAGGAGCTGTACCCACGCAAACCACAGCTAGTAGAGCAGAAAGTGCTGCCTCTACTCTGGCACCTCTTGGGGACTTCAAGCAACAGTGGCACTGTCCGTGGGAGGGGCGGTAGTGTGAGAGGGGCCACTGCCAACCTGTGCCAAGCCCTTTACACGCACATGGGCCAAGCATTGATAGATTGTGCTGCTTCTCAACCTTTGAACATTCACCAGAGCCTGAATCACTTTTTGAAGAACCTTCCAACCCCATGAGATATCCCACCCAAATGTCCAGATGACAACTACACTCAATTAATCAAACATGAATTCTACTTCAAGAAATGTGTTCTTGAATTTCTTACAGTGCCTGTACTTTTTTAACAAGAAAAGAAAAAAAGAATCTGTTCCTGAAGAACCTCCCAGCCTTGAGATCTATGACTAAGATGTCCAGACCAAAACAACACAGATTACAAACATTTATAGTACTTTACGGTAGATATGTTTTTGCATTTCTCAGAAAGTTTGCACTTTAGAAAAAACGAACAAGAAAAAGCTACAAAAAAAAAGATTTTTAAAACTTTGAAGTAGCAGGACATTAAGTCCTGAAAAGTCCTTCAGTATAGGAGTACAGATTTTAGTTTATGGAATCAGGATTAATATTTTCAAGAGCGCTGCTCTTTTTGCACTTTGAAACATTAACACTATCCTCATAAGTTGCATGGTGACTATAGCTATACATTTTTCTGAGATTGTTACTGTTATTTTTCTGTTTGTGGGTTTTTCAAAATGCTGACATATCCTGAGACAACCATGCAGAATGTAATTTTTGGAATGCAAAATGAAAAGGCTGTGTACCCTTATTTTTTGATGTTTGTGATAAAACTTGAATATGAAGAGTCCTAAGTGGTTGTTCTAAACCTTTGTGCAAGTAAAAGTTATTTACAAAAAACATTTCTACTGTGTAGTTAAGAAGTGTAGAGGCACAGTATTACCTTAATGTACTTGCTGTATAATGTTGCAATATGCAATGCATCATATGCATAGATGAACACTTCCGTAGTAACTTAACTGAGTAATTATGGCCTTTGTTATAAGTGGGACCCTAGTCCTAACAATTTTGCATGAACACATTTATTGGTGGAATGAAAAGAATGTATTTGTACTAGTCAGACAATTTGATGTACGCCAACACCAGAATGAAATCTGGATGTAAAACAACTGTATTTCTGGTGAACAGGCAAAATGATGAAAGCTGGCTCAAAACTAGCAGGTATATTAATAGGCAACACACACATTTATGCCCAGATCTCTAATTCTTATTTAGTATAGTGCCAGTCTCAAGTAGTTTATTTTGAAATCTGAAGTTAAATTAAATTATAAACTATACTCAATGTGGTATGTAGATTGATCAATATAATAAATGTTTTATTTCTGTAAACATTTATGAATTTATATTTACAACACACATCGTTTTCTCATTTCTTCACAGGTAAAGGGCAAAAGTGTGTGAAAAATGACAGAATACCCCAGTGTGACAAACATAAACAAACTGCCCAATCCTGCCACAAAATATATCAAAATAAAATACAGAATTTTTCCAATTTTCCAATTCCAATTTTATCCAAAAGGAAAAAAGGAAAAATGTTTACTTCATTGTAGAATGATTATAAATACCATTATTCACAGCCTTTTAGGACAAAAAAAGAACACAAATATTTATAGTAATTATGATTGTTATTTATAAATAATCTTTCACATTTTCAGTTCCTATTATGTTTTGTTATTCCTGCCACTACATTGAATAAAAGCCATTAAACTATGAGAAAACCTATTGATCAGCATAAATATCAGTTTTGTATGCATTCTTGTTTGTATATAATCAGCCCCATTAAGAACATTTGGCTATCTGAAAGGAATTGCAAGTAGGGGGGAAATGCTTCAACACTTTATTGATTCCTAAGCTAATTACTGTCTTAACACAGAAACAGCACACATCCGGGCCCTCATAACCTGAAGAGAAAACAGAATCAAATATGACTGGATTTTAGAAAGAAATGTTACAATCAGATTAATGTGACTCATTTATTAGTATATAAATATTTTCATAAATACTGGCAAAATAGGTCATTTTTCAGTTTGTTTGTAATTAAGAGGGTTGACATTGGGTTTTGTGACATTAAAGGAGTCTTTTTCTTTTTGCATTATTTTGAGAGGCATGTCACTTTAAAGGCTCTTGGTTGATTTTTTTTTTTTTGCTATTTCATAAGTGAATCATCGTGCTAGTTGCTGTCTGGAGCAGCAGGAAACTTTCGGTCTACCATGTGCTCAGTGCCGCGTACACAACAGTGCTTAAACGTTTGCTTCAAACAGTAGTAGGTTCACAAAGATGTATTTGTGACTTGCTTCCCTAATAGAGTCGAACTGCAATGAAAGGCGTTTCCGTAAAACAAGAACGCCCACATCAGGAACGCCCACTTATCATTCATTGACCGATATATCTGCAAAATGGCTTCTCTCATTGGTGGGTACGACTCAATGGGGAAAATACATCAGTATTTGTAAAGACGTTACTAATACTAAATTAATATTGTTTGTACATATTTACCTAATGTTGGCATTTAAAAACAAATATTTATATGTAATGTATAGCTTCTGGTGATTTGTATAGAGTTCTGTCTCGCGGTTTTGTGATCCCCGACTTGAACTTGCGGTCTGTATGCCTATCATAACGGTAGCAATCAGCAGTGTTTTCAGCAGTACTACGCAATCTGCTCCATACCAGTCGTTATTTAAATTAATGTGTAATAGTGGATTATAATATTAACGTCCCTGCTGAGAACAAAACATAGAAACCACTAAGAGTTTCTGTTGGTTCTTGGGGGTTTGTAATGCATTTTGGCTTTTCTTTATGGGTTGATAGTGTAAAGGTTCCAGATACATTTCTAATTCTACTTGGAAACTAGTGGTCTCTAATGGTAACCATTAGGAGGCAAAAACCATTAGATTTTAATCCTAATGGTTTTATTCAGCAGGGGTTACCGTGGTGCTGCCAGCTTGCACAATAACTTAACTGGCAAGGTTGAGTATTGTTGACTATTAAGCAACCATGTGCTTATTTTCCACAAGTTTTAAGGTCGTACTAAAATGGTAATGTAACAGTAAACTTAGCGACATCATAATCTGCAATGAAAGCGCTCGTTGATTTCGACCTTATTAATCTTTCCCATTTTTTTCGCGGTGTTCTGTACGAGGGCGTTTTAGGGCCACTGTTAAAAAAATATGAATAGTAGATTTCGAGAATAAAGTCGTAATATTTCGAGAAAAAGTCGTATTTTCTTGAGTAAAATCGTAATATTTTGAGAAGAAAGTAATAATATTTGGATGATAATACTGTAGAATTACGACATTACAGTGGCATTAATACCAGGAAAGCTCGCAATATAACGGCCAAAGGGTCTGTAAAAGGGAAGGCAGCACCTCCTCCTGTTAAATGAGGGGCGTTGAGTTGGTGGAGTTACACTTTCATATCGATTTCACCCATGAAGAAATATTAAGACTCCCTGTCTCTCCTCCACATCAGCACCTGCCTGTTATTAGTATAAGAAACGGCTGAAACGGCTGAGCAGGAGACTGTGTTTATTTAGAATAAAGAGCCAGACGGACTCGGAGGAAACTGTCTGTTTTGTTGAAGGAGAACCACAGACAGGATCGTCTACACGGCTATCGGTGGCTACATCTCCGCGCCATTCAAAGAGGGCATGAAGTTTCACAGACAATGGAAATGATGATCAAAATGATCGATCTACAAAGAGACAGGAGTGAGTGGAACTCTGGCGCGCTCAGCGTCTTTGCCGTCGCCAGTACAGCAACCGAGACCCCTACGCGTTATGGCAGCACCCCTACAGTTAGCACTTAATCCTCGAAATATCGCTTTTAGTCTCGTAACTTAACGTCTTTAATCTCGAAATATTACGACTTTATTCTCAAAGTCTACCATTTTTATTTTTATTAACAGCTGCCCTAAAACGCCTTCCTAGCTCTGTTTACTCACTTTACTGTAGCTTTTACTCCAAATCCCACCTGCCCCTGACGTCACATGACGGGCGTTCCTGGGGGGCGTGTCTCCATCACAGAAACGCCCTCATATGGTGCTGCAATTAGACCCGTCTCTTAGTTAAGGCATAAGGAAGAATGCGCTGAATTTACATATCCCCTCCTTCCCCGAAAGATTCAGCCTAGGATTCTATGGAGAGTCGGTCTGCCCAGTTCGAAGTTTACTGGTGGCCAGCAGAATTTTTATTGTTCCGCTGAGTTGATTACTCCTGTGGAGCTACGCTGGACCTACATAGTACTGCAGGCCAGACCAGCGAACTAAGGAGATATGTACGACGGCGTTTTAGAGCCACTAAAACCAGGTAGACTCGGAGGAAATTGTCTCTTTTGTTGAAGGAAAACTCGACGGCAGCGGTCGTCTACTAGGTTATCGGTGGTTACATCTTTGTGAAGAGGGGGTTGGTTCTCTGCATACCTAGGTGCAGCGTTGTCTGATGTTCTCTATCTGAGGCAATACGTCTGCGCATCCGCCATGTTGGAGCGGTCAAGATCCGATGAGTTCTCAGGATTAAATCGGCCTTTCTTATTACCGATTTTCAGCACATTTGTTTTGTTATAATCCTCAGACATAGATTAATCTATGTTGCACGGAATGCTCTCGGTAGCTTTTATTTCTTTAATAACTGATTGTGCTAATTAGCCGTCCGCACCAGCAGAAAAGTATTCAGTCAGCACCTGACGTTAAAAACTGAGTTTAGGACGAGCTCCGGTAGAAACTGACACACATCAGCAAATCCATCAATGCGTGAATTAATTCTAATCTTAATAAACATAAAAATAAAAGATACATACATAGATAGATAGATAGATAGATAGACAGACAGACAGACAAGTTGACACTTGATCCTGAAGGAAATTTTGCAGCCAGTAGCAGTCACACAACACAGAACAGTTATAATAAAAAGGGTGATAAAATATAAAAAGAAGAATATATACAAAAGCCTATTTACAGGCATATATACAAAAAGAAATATCCAAAAATATGCAATAAGATCTATAACCTGAGATAAAATAGGCAGGGCTATAATGAATGTACAAGGAGTCGCAGGTACTCTCAAAAAATATTTAAGCCCAAAAGTTAAAATTTATGTCTATTATTAAATGTCAATTTTCCATTCAATTTAAATACATAAATCCAATGTAAAAAAAATGGTATTATAATTTGTTTCTCCATCATGTTCAGTTAACCTGAATGAATTAAATAACGTTTAAATTAGAAGTACTTGTAGGATTTATGCAATTCTTTTACATAACATTTATGTATTTCTAAAGAGTTAATACTACCTTCTGTGTTCACAGCACAATTGCTTAGACTGTGTAAATGTATTAAATTACAATACATATTAAATTCACAAACATTAATTGTATTCCAAACAGTTTTAAACAGTATTTGCTGATGCACATTACAAGACACATGTAAACTTTAAAGTCTAATGTGAAATTAATAAATATAACTTTAGATATTTTAGCTGTGATCAAATTCCCTGGTGTAGAATTTCTGTTCACTCGCAACTTAACTACTAATCAAAGCAAATGTTTATGTGCACACAACATTCCTATTGAGGTGCAACTCTCATGCTAACCATCTTGCAAGTTAGCTAGCTAACGCTATCAGTCACGTCATGCCATGCTAATATGTTGAGGTCACCTACAGTTACAAAAAACCATGAACTGTTGGTTTGAATATTAATGGAATACATCTTTATATACTATGCTTCACAATAAATCACTCCCATTGTTTATTTAATCTACCTTTTGTACCCGTTAACATGACAGCAGACCTAGCAAGGATGCTAGGTAGCTAGTTTGCTGGTGTTGTCTAGAGTATTTCTCAAAATAAGCAAAATGAAACATTAATATATGGTCAAAAACATTAAAAACACAAATTAAGTTAATTCGCATCACTATTTCATTGCAGTAGCACTGTATATCAAAGGATGGCAGGAGATTGTAAAAATAAAAAGAGCCATTTTATGTCCACTGTGCCAGCTGAAGCAATTTCCTGGTTGATGATGCGTTTCCTGTTACTATTGCACATGCGCAGTGCCTCCTAATAAGATTTAGTGGAAAAATCTAATAGGTCTTATACAATTCAATTAAATCAGTTTTGGATTTATCCCAATTGGGTTGCTTCTAATGAATATAAATAAGTAAAGTATATTTTTATGTTTTTTAAATAAGTTTTATATAAAATATTTGCTTAATGTTTATGATGGCCATAAATCATTTTTTGAGTGTAACAGCATATAATGACAATACTGAATAAATATGTGCATATATTGGTAATGAAATAAAGTGTCTAGGTGTGGAATAGTGTCCAGATGTGCAAGATGTGTGAAAAGATGTGCAGAAAGTGCAATATGTACAGTAAGGTGTCCATATGTGCAGATAGATAAAATAAACCTGTAATTTAGCAGAAGAGATTCAGTCGTAATCTATCCTCTTCCCTCTTCTCTCTCCTCTTCTGGCCCCACTGTGAAGAGTTGAAGAGCCTTATGGCTCTAGGGACAAAAGATTCTGAAGAAGATTCTGAAGTCTGTTGGTTGAGCAGCTCTGTGACAGCAACCTGCCACTAAACATGCTCCTCTTGTCC